AAAAATATCACTTTTATTTCACCAGAGATTCAGGTCAAAGGATGAAAACTCCTCCTATATCATATATATATATATATATATATATATATATATATACACACACACACACACACACACACACTCATATATATGTGTATATATATGTACATGTGTGTATATATATGTATATATACATATGTGTGTGCATACTGAATATCTTTAGTTATTACATGCCCAAAATTTTTCTTAAATTTTTCTACATTTTCAAAAATTTAGATACAATTTTAGATCTATGGTAATGGATACTGTTTTTAAGTGTGTGTAAGTAAAAATGACCTAAACTGCCCACAGGACACCATTGACAATTTCTCCTCTACTTATAGTCCATGTATTTTCAACTAACATAAGAGTGGAAGATGTATTTACTTTTCTAAATAACATTGTCATTAAATAATAATCATTAGAAAAATATATTTTGGGCAAAGAAAGCACTCCCTATATTATGGGCATCTATAAACTGCATCTAAACATCTCAATAATTAATCTGAAGGTAAGAGGAATTAAAATTGAGTGAATTTCTAACCTTTAATAGCCTTGATCCCAGAGAACATCGGGGTTCTCTGAGTCAAGGAACAAGTCATTCAGACCATAAACTTGCCATTGTTCTAGACTCTTCTTGATGCTCAATACAGGTAAGTGGATGTCTTTTCAAATTCTGAATTAGAACATACACCACCTCTTCCTCTTTCCTCTTTTCCTCCTCTTGTCTCCTCTTCTTCTCCTTTCTTTCCCCTCTGTTTGCTTCCCATGCTCTCCCTTCCCCCTTTTTCCTTTCATTCCTTCTTCTTTTCTCACACCTTGATTCAGCCAGACTTATGGCGTAGCACCTACCTTCAGCCATCAATACTCTCTGGCTACAGCAAGAAAAGTAGTTTTTCCTAGAAGCCCTGTCACCTGCAGGGAGTGGAGGGAGGTTCAGGAGCTGCAATGGCCTCTTCCCACCTGCCTGCCCCACCTCCTCCAGTTGACTCTTAAGAATTGGATTGTCCTTCTTTCCTGTCCTCTGCCCTGGACCCCAGGGACACCAACAGCACCACTCTTGTTCTAGCTGTCCCCTTTCTCTTCCCAGACAGAGAGTTTAATTTGCCCTAGGAAATGAAACACAATTTTCACTAGAGTCCAAATTTCATAACAACCACATGTTCAGTATAGAAGAGCAGAAATGGAAATAAAACATCAAGTTTTTCAATAGCCAATTGAATGAGAGCAGTTGTATTGCCTTAAAAAAATATTTCATCACTGTTTGTTTTATTGGTTAATTTGGGGGCTGTGGAGAATGAGATATTTATTTTGATTTTGATTTGGTAAGACTGTATAAAGGAACTCAAGAAATAGTTAATGAATTGCCTAAGGTCCCTGGCAATCATGGATTTATTTATTTACTAGAAAGAATTCTGTCTTGTTCGTCTACTTGTATCAAAATGTTTTAATATGCATGTTTAATTTTCTCCTGAAGGAAAATCACTAGGAGGAAAGACACCAGTAAAAAAATCACCTGCCGACTCTACAGACATATCACCCACTCCAATAGCACCACCACTACCGAAGCCAGGATCTGAAGAATGGGTCTACGTGAATGAACCAATCCCTGAGGTATGCAACCTGCAGTCAAAGAACCCATTCTTTGGTTTATGATCCACATCATTATTTGCAACATACAAAAATCATTTCATAACTGGTAATATATGTGCACTCATCCAAAATCTGAGATAGAGCTAGGAGTGTAGCTTAGTGGTATAACTCTTGAGTCACATTCACAGGTCCTGTGTTCAATCCCCAGCACCACAGAAAGAAAATAAGAAAGAAAAGTAAGAGAGAGAGAGAGGCCGGGGGAATAGAGAGAAGAAATAACAAATTTTCTAGAGTTTATCATTGAACCACATCTCAAAGTTTCTCCTCTTCATTTGAGTTTCTGAGTCATATTTTGAACTTCTGTTGAGTGCTAAAATCGAGAGAGCAAATGGGTTCTGGGAGGACCAATTTTCTTCCTGAGGACAAGCAGAGATGCCGTTTCCTAGAATGACTTCCACTGAACACATACACAGCAAATTTATGACCCTCTATCCAGTTCTAATGCCCACATGCTTTTAAATGGAGTTTAACCTCTGATTCTTTAGAAATAGGAGAAAATTTTGAAGCTAAGTAAGCCTGTTTAAAAAAAAAAAAAAAAAAAAGCAGATAGCTGAGGCTGGGGATGCGGCTCAGGAGTGGAGCGCTCACTCTCCTAGCACCTGTGAGGCCCTGGATTCAATCCTCAACACCACATATGAATAAATAAAATAAAGGTATTGCATCCCACTACAATGAAAAAATAAATATTAAAAAAACAAAACAAAAACAAAAGGAGACAGCTCTCTAACCTGAGAGCCTGAAATGGGTGTGCTGAACCAGGAGATCCCCAGGGAGCCCATCCTTCTCTGACAGCTGCCAAGCCCAGCTGCCACCAGGCACTTCCGGTTGGGGGAAATCGTTTGAGGAAAATTGCACAGAATGGTGATTTAAAACGTTTTTAAAAGGAAAGAAGCTTTTACAAGTCTAAGTCCCCTCTTTCTACTGTAATCCCCAGAGATGTCCTATTCTGATAAACCCAGCAAGAACCATTCCTGAGAATCATTTAAGATTCAAAGGCAAACCGCAGCACCTGAGGCGTTGCTGTTAGGAAGGAGCTCTCCTAGGGATGTCCTGTCTCCTCAGTTAGATGGAAATTTGGGGATGGAAGGAAAGAGCACGTTGAATAATTTACTGTATAAAACACAGAATCAAACACGGTGCAGGGCATGTAACAGACTCTTGATAGGTTCATGAGGAAGTAATAAGTTATCATTGAGGGTAAAATTAAAACAGAAAATATTTAAAGATGAGAACATTAAATATATCATTATAAATATGTACAACACTCATCCAAAAAGAAGCTACACATTGTATTTGTGTATTTGTGTATGTATGCATGTATGTGTATATATATATATATATATATATATGTATACAAATTATATACAAATTACATGTATAGGTGTGTGTGTGTGTGTGTGTGTGTGTGTGTATTCCAAAACTTTCCTAGGTCTACAATGTACCAATTAAAAAATTTGGGAAAAAAAACTCCTAGAAGCAGAATATAGAAGAGGTTTGGGGGAATGAGATAAAATTAAAGTTAATGTTTACAAGGGGTATGAAGTGATGAATAAAACCCAAAGCACATTCCTGAACTCCAAACCTAAAAGCCCTTTAAAAAAAATAAAGCCATAGAGAACAAGCAGAAAATAGAGGACAAGAATTAAATAACTAAATAAGCATCAATATTAAGATATGATACTAGTTCCCCTGTACGTCTTTTAGCAGTAAAAATTCTGGAGAAAAATAAATGAAAATTTGAGGAGATAGAATAAAGTGTGGTCAGAAAGTAAGGGAACCTACAAGGATTCAATCATTCCTCCCAAACAAGGGATGCCTGGGAGTCATTATGGACTCGGAACTTGAGGTGGAGAAGTCAGGGAGCGGGGTCTTGGGGCTCAAGAGGACCTCTGCACAGAGAGGGCCATCGGAGGGGACCTGGGTCTTCACTGGGGATGCAGCACCCCAGGTCACAGCAGAGGAGCAGGAGAACACACTATGGGGAGGGCCTCCCTGTGTTCTTCAGGGCACTGAGCAGGGTAGAGAAGGGTGGGAAGTTGGCCTGGAGGGACAGTGAGGACAGACACAGGCCAGACCTCCAGTGAGCTGAGTGAGGCCCTGTGGAGAGCGGCTGCTGCTGCTACAGCGAGGCAGGTCACCTGAGGCAGCCTGGTCCTCTCCCCTCAAGGCTTCCCACAGGAGCTGCAGAGTTCACCTGCCAAGGAAGAGGAGCACATGTCCCCAGTTACATTTGGAGTTCTAATAAGCAATGAATTTAAGCAGGCATCTGTACTCTGTCTGGTAAGCCTAGTTCCAGGCCTCCTAAGGACCCTGGTCAGCCTTACCTCAGTAGGTACATGGAGGCCAAGAGAGAGAGAAAGAGCCTGAAAAGGGAGATTGCAGATCTGGCTTTTTCAGGCAGCAGCCAAGTGCAAGGCAAGCCTCTGTATCCCCTTTGCCAGTCACAAGGGAAGGTGCAGAGAGCCGCTAGGAGTCAATCAGAGTGAAAGGTCTTTGCTTTCCAGCTTGTGGAAATACAAGAACAGACGCCCAAGAGGCAGGATTTCTCCAAAGAGGCAGCTGTGCCTTGGGCTCCATGACCCATTCAGTGTCCTCATTCACAGGCCACAAATCATAGCAGTCCCCCACCTCCTCCTCCTCCTGCTCCTGTTCCTTAGGCTGAAGTTGAGTACAGGGGCCACAGAGCCACGTGTTCCAAGTTTGGAAATCTATCATTCTCAGGAAGCTGACAGACATGGGATTTCTCTGCCAAATAGTAGGCCACTGTTCAATTCAGAACTCTGATCCATTCTCACCTGGCTCTTCTTAAAATATAGACCCCCTTAGCCTCAATTTCACTTTGCAAGGTTTCTGTTACCTATGATTAACCAAGGTCAAATGCCTATATATTTCGAAACAGGTAGATGATGCTTATTAACATACAGATTGAGAGTCTACATGTTAATCCCTGGCAAAACTTCAGAAAATCATTAAACATATGGCTTCTGAGCACTTATAAAGTATAAAATGATCGCTTGGAGACTGCCTGGGAAGAATAAACCTTGTTCAACTGGTCCATTCATTTGCCTTAATAGCAAGGTGAGGTTGATGGATCAGAGTACCACAGACATAAGATCTCTTGAATTCAAGATAGCATTCGGAAATTTCCTCACAAAATTACCAGAGATAGATGAGAATTGTGAGCAGAATGTTAATTCAATGAGGCCCATTCTTAGCTGGTAACTCTCTAGGCACAGGCATTGATTAATGGATTGAAATTGACCAGGAGGGAGGCTCAGAAGTGTGTCTATTTGCCAAACATCTTAGCACATGCCTATAATCCCAACAGCTCAGGAGGCTGAGGTTGGAGGCTCTCAGCAACTTAGTGAGATTCTGTCTGAAAATAAAATATAAAAAGGGCTGGAAATATTGCTCAGTGGTAAAGCCCCCTTGGATTTAATCCCCAGTACCAAAAAAAAAATAAAAGTGTGTTTATTTAAAATGCTCTTTAGCATCACTATGGATACCACTTCTTTTAAGAGAGACTGTGAGATATATCTATATATCTATATATCTATATCGATATATAGATATATAAGTTGACATATATATATATTGACATGAC